ATGACAAAAATAACACGAAGTGAGATAGAAAAATAAAATATTCATAGTATAGTGTACGTCGCATTAAAAATTCAGTTTTATGATGATATGAAAATTTCTGAAATCATTTGTCATATATGTAAAATAGTCAGACACAATTTTCCTGAATATTTATTCAGCAACCGCGACAGCAACGCGTGAACTCTCACTCGGTCAAGTTAAATCTTGTCCAACAAGTGAAACCACCCCGAGGGCGGCTCGGCGAGGTGCCACCCCCGCGGAGTACTCTCATATTTCGGCGTCCTCTCGTCGGAGGCGTAAAAATAAAAGCGGTCGTTGTGACGCGAGCCGACGACGAACGGGTATCGCCGCGATCAATAATACTTGTCGGCCACCCTCGTTGGTCCACGCTTCTGTTTCCCTCGGATCGTGTGGGCGTCTCGGAGTGCCACCCTCGGCTCTTGACTCGACACGGCCACACAATTTTCGCGTCTAAGGAAAATAAATTCGCGGCTTATTCGTATTACGTGCCGGTTCTTATCGTTAGGATAGCTCAACGACCAAGTGTTCGTGGCGATCGTTTATTAGATAGGAAACTAAAAACCAGCCGAGGTCGGATGAAAATTGCTCGCAAAGTTCTAATCACGTGTTCTCGTTTAATGTAGTTGCTTACGTGCGCGGGTTGAGTGATTCATATAACCTTACGCGCTTCGACCGGCGACGGCGATTTCATTCAGTGACGCCCACGCGCCTCTTCGCCATGACGTCATTGAAAGCGTCGAGGCGTGAGCGGAGGGTAGATTGGGGGATGCTGGATCTGGGGCAACGCTTCCCTCCTCATTCTTCTCCTCCTTCTCCGACCCATCCTGCTTCGTTTCTTTCATCTCGGTTATTTGTGTCCTCTCTCTTCCTTCTATTTATTCCCCGCAGACGTTATTTACATGCGTAACTTTTTCAGAAGAAATTTAAAGACGCATTCATGCGGTTATCAACGACGAGTATCCTATAAAATTTTTTTCACCGCTTCCATGAGTTTTTTCATTCATCCCCTTTTTTTTTTCTCGTCACTGTTCTTCATTTTTGCACTCCTCTCAGCTACTATCTTTCAGGCCATTTCCCTCAAGTGGTTAATGGTCGATCGCAATCGAACGTCACAGCGATTCAACGAACCACATCGTTTTTCCAGTTGATTTCACCATTGGCTACTGTTATTCTCGGTGAACAAGCGGTGCGAGAAGAAACTAGGAGCTGACGGCGGTTGCTTCGACTCCGTTTCTTCTTTCCTATCGACCGTGCAAGTTATAATAGCCTATACGAAGCGATTAGTTTTATGGGATTGTTACGACCAGATAAATGGTTGATCGTGGACAGTTAAATGATAATAAATTTGGCGACATTTTCAATAAAATTTCAAATCGATTCCCATTATCTATCGATACGTTTTCCGTGCTCGTTACGCCGCCATCGCATAATGAGATAAAGCCAGCCATGAACGAGACTCTCTATCCTTGAGATTGATTAAGCCAGGCTTAATCTGGCGAAGTTCGCGTTGCGTAACGCCGAGGGAAAGGGTTGGAAAAATATCAGGGAAATTGAAGGACACGTCGAGAGAGTATGCGAACGCTGAACGACTTGCCGGATGTCTGTATCAAATTCGTATCGATTACAGCGGCGACAGAAATTCAAGCGGCAGACTCGACGATTGTCTGCGGCAGTTCGCGGCGAAACCTTGAAGAACTTTCGAATGGTAAATCGTGCGTTTGAAGGTTCCGAAGGCTCCCTGGGAAATTGCACTGAGTTTCCATTTGAAAATGTTTCGAGTCTTCTGTACCGTCGATCGCGGAGCGACGTGTAAATGGATTTTATTTAAAGAAGAGATGAAATTGAATATATATATATATATTCTCTACAGAGCTCCTCGAATGTGATAATCTGATATATCCGCGAATTAGTCGGCTACGTCACAGCGATTCAACGAACCACATCGTTTTTCCAGTTGATTTCACCATTGGCTACTGTTATTCTCGGTGAACAAGCGGTGCGAGAAGAAACTAGGAGCTGACGGCGGTTGCTTCGACTCCGTTTCTTCTTTCCTATCGACCGTGCAAGTTATAATAGCCTATACGAAGCGATTAGTTTTATGGGATTGTTACGACCAGATAAATGGTTGATCGTGGACAGTTAAATGATAATAAATTTGGCGACATTTTCAATAAAATTTCAAATCGATTCCCATTATCTATCGATACGTTTTCCGTGCTCGTTACGCCGCCATCGCATAATGAGATAAAGCCAGCCATGAACGAGACTCTCTATCCTTGAGATTGATTAAGCCAGGCTTAATCTGGCGAAGTTCGCGTTGCGTAACGCCGAGGGAAAGGGTTGGAAAAATATCAGGGAAATTGAAGGACACGTCGAGAGAGTATGCGAACGCTGAACGACTTGCCGGATGTCTGTATCAAATTCGTATCGATTACAGCGGCGACAGAAATTCAAGCGGCAGACTCGACGATTGTCTGCGGCAGTTCGCGGCGAAACCTTGAAGAACTTTCGAATGGTAAATCGTGCGTTTGAAGGTTCCGAAGGCTCCCTGGGAAATTGCACTGAGTTTCCATTTGAAAATGTTTCGAGTCTTCTGTACCGTCGATCGCGGAGCGACGTGTAAATGGATTTTATTTAAAGAAGAGATGAAATTGAATATATATATATATATTCTCTACAGAGCTCCTCGAATGTGATAATCTGATATATCCGCGAATTAGTCGGCTAACCGAGTCTTCAGACCTCGCACTTCTCTCTGACCAAGCTTATGGTGTTACGTCACGCGTATCAAAGTCGCCCAATAGTCAATCAAACGGGCATTCATCTAGAACGATCCGATTCCGCGACGCAACGCGGCGTCGATAGCTTCGTAGCTTTGCGCTGCCCTCCTGGACGTCGCTACCGCCGCTGCTGATGGTGCTGTCGCCAGTCCGCCTCGCTCGCCTTTCACCGCGCTCGCCTCAGTACGCCGTTGCCTCCCATCAGCCGCGGATCCGCTCCCCGAAACAGTCGTTCCCAATCTCCGGTTCATCACGCCGACACCTCGATTACGTTAACGTGCCACTCTTCCACGCTCGTTCTTTTTTTTTTTTTTTTTTACTTTCTCGAACAGTTTATCGAATTGTAAAAAGTAACGTGACTAAACTCGTGCGACGTCGGAGCCAGAGACGAGTCCCAGCCACGAGAGACAAGCGCGTCTCTCCAGTTTTTGATGGTAAGAATCCCCGAGCTAACTGGAGAACCGGAAGTCGAGAGGAATCCGGGACGCTCCACAGGTAGTGTAGTGATCGCCGATTCGATTATCTCGCGCGAGATCGTTCCGCGACCGGGCAGAGAGCGTGCGCGCACCCTGGCTGAGTGAAAGTAGGAGGCTGGTCAGCTGGCCGTTTCCTAGCCGAGGTGAATCTCACCCAGCCTGTGCCAGCATAATCGTGGTAATAGCGTTTACACGATCGCGGCTAGACTTTCGAGAGGAAGCGAGTGTTCGAAGGCACTTGTGAGTTGCATCTATTTTTCATACAAGCTCACGGCGACGGACTGTGGGACGTAATGTAGAAATTATACTGTAAGAGAGATACGTGGCACGCTTGGTGTTCTATTGGGAAGCAATCCTGTCGGAGTGTTAATTAGTGAAATAAATGTTCAGACATTGAAGTCCTAGCGCGTGACGCAACAATCGGTATCGCGCCCAATAGCAGGAAAACCGATAACGGTATCTGCAACTTTACGACCATTCTTATCAAACTTTATCCTCAACAAAAAGTGATTCCACTGTTAAAAAAGAAAAAATCACTGTCATAGTCATATTTAAAATGTATTTAATTAGTCTTAATCGATCAAGTTAAATAATTTTTTTTATGTTATTTAATTATACCAAATTTCTGATAAAATCGTAGAATAATCGTGAGTTAGTCATTATGAAGTGATGTACAAATATTTGTTGCGACTACTGTAGATAACGAGAAACAACATTTATCCTCAACAAGAAGTGATTCCACTCGAAGAAAAAATGATTGTCATCACGTTTAACACTAGAAAGACTGAAACTTAGTATATACCTGTATTGCCCAAAGCAGTCAAAATGACTTCCTTGGGCAATCTAGTGTTAAACAGTATTTACATGTCTTCATACCTGCGAGTCGTTTTTATTAATCTCAATCGATCAAATTAGACTTTAATTAATTTCAACAAAACTTAGTGTACGAACCTTTTTCTATATTATTTACTTATACCGATGTTTAGTAATACATTTAGTTGTAACACGAGCCGTGAGTTAATCGTGCTGGAGCGGTGCACAAATATTTGTTGCAACCACTGTAGATAGCGAAAAAGCAACATAGAGTACGGCGAAGTGGATCGAAAGCTCAACAGTGACGCAACTCTGTTAATCGAGTGCGGCTATTAGCTAACGAAGTTACCCGTGATTAGGCGTCGCGTCGTTCCCAAGTACAATACGGTAAAAAGAAACGCGGTTCGGCTACTGCTAGCCAATTGCACGGGGAATTTCAGTTTAACGACTGTTTTTATCGTCAGATTAATATCGAAACTCGCCGATAAGCTTAACGACGGCTACTGATATCTATTAATGAAGAATTAAATGCGATCGTAATTTTCGTGGCATGCTTCGGCCGTGAACGAGTCACCTGGACTGGCAAATTTTAGATTGTCGAAGTTCTCATTGTGTTATTTCTATTCAACAATTGACTCAGAATTTCCTCCCTTTTTCTAAATCACTTTTATTCCAATTTAACAACAACGAATCCACTCTTGCTCAATTTAATTAATTGCTATAATGATAATAATAGACTGCTGACTCAATTGATTTTATCGTTTCCAAAACGCTTTTTTGTTTAAACTAACCCGCGGCTTGCAATTTACACCAGTTACGCATTTGCCAGAGGGCAGAAAGGGCTGGATACGATTTACCGAAGGCGGAAATGGTTCGGTTAATAACATCTCTCGTTTCGTTTCCATTACAGTGTGGCTCCCTGGAGATTGGCGAGGAACGCCAGCGTCGGGTCGCTATGATGGAGTCCCTGTGCCAGGTGAACGGCACCAAGAGCAATGGCGGCAACGAGAACAGCTCCTCTACCAACAACAACAATAATAACAACAGTAACAGTAACAGTAACAGCAACAATTCAGATTAGCCGGATCCCCAGCAGAGGTTGGCGGTGCTCAGCTTCGAGCAGGTCAGACGATTGAACGACGTGATGAACGAGGTGGTCTGCATCCACGGCCGCGGCAACTTCCCGACCCTCGAGGTCCGACTCAGGGACCTGGTGACCGTGGTCCGCAGCAAACTGGAATCCGACCCGAGCAACGGCGGCGCCGGAATGAGGGTGCGCGACATCAGGCTGAACGGAGGCGCCGCGTCCCACGTCCTGGCAACAGAGTCGCAGCCGTACAACGACCTGGACCTGATCTTCGCCGTGGAGCTGTCCAGCGGCCGGAACTATGACAAGGTGAAGGCCGCCGTCCTCGGCTCACTGTTCGACCTGCTGCCGGAAGGTGTCAGCCGCAAGCGCATAACCACCTGCAGCCTGAAGGAGGCGTACGTCAGCAAGATGGTGAAAGTGAACAACGACGGGGACCGGTGGTCCCTGATCTCCCTCGGGAACTCGCGGGGTCACAGGAATGTCGAGCTCAAGTTCGTCGACTCGATGAGGCGGCAGTTCGAGTTCTCGGTCGACTCGTTCCAGATCGTGCTCGACTCCCTCCTGCTGTTCTACGAGTGCAGCAAGCTGCCGATCGGCGAGAACTTCTACCCGACTGTGGTCGGCGAGTCGGTATACGGCGACTTCCAGGAGGCGTTGTATCATCTTCACAAGAAGCTGATCTCCACGAGGCATCCAGAGGAGATACGCGGCGGCGGACTCCTGAAATACTGCAACCTCCTGGTGAAGATGTACAAGCCGTCGCAGCCGGACTACATCAAGACCCTCGAGCGGTACATGTGCTCGAGATTCTTCATCGACTTCCCAGACATCAGCCAGCAACGGGCCAAGCTTGAGAACTACCTGTGGAACCATTTCGTCGGCCCCGAGGAGGAGGCCCTCAAGTACCAGTACCTGATGCTACTCCATAGCGTGGTGGAGGAATCCACCGTCTGCCTAATGGGCCACGAGAGACGACAGACCCTGGCCCTGATCGAGAACCTCGCCTACCAGGTCTACTGTCAAGAGCAGCAGCAACGGCTGACGAATCATCAACAGCCGCCGCCTGGGCCGCAGGCCACCTACGTTTACGCGAATGGTTACGCGAACGGCTACTATTACGCTTCGGTAATACCTACCGCGTGCTACACGTGCACATGCAACTCGTGGATGGCGTGCTCGTCGTGATGCGACCTCGAGGACAACGCCGTCGTCGCCACTGGCAGCGCCATCGCCACCGCCGCGACCACAACCGCGACCACCACCGGCACGATCACCAGAGACCAGGACGCCTGTGACTACTCCGCGACCGTCACCGACGACGGGACCACGAACACGATTGTGCTCGCTGATGAGGATCGTCCAGGTCCTCGCTCCCTCGAAGGGCTCGAGCGCGAGACATGCGAATCGTCAACGATTCTTCTCTGCGAGTCGACGAAGCGTCTGGTCCTCAGTTGACGCTTGGACTCGCCTCGAACATCACCGCGCGACCGATTCAATGTGTGACGTAGACGATTAGCTCGTCGGAAAGAAATAAAAGAACGGTCACGTTGTCGCGGCCAACCCGGTGACGGGACGTGCTTAACGGCGTTAATAACGGCTCGGTGACAGTGGGACAGGTTGGAGGAAGACTGAAGAGGCCAGGGGAAGAGGTCTGAACGTTGGGACCCGGGACAATCGTATTATCGTATTTCGCACTGCGCGTTTCCGAGGTCCCGGTGTCTCTCTCTCTCTCTGTTTCTCCTGGACGCGTTTATCCAGCTGCGGTGGGACGATCAGTTGTCGCTCGTGGAGAACCAAAAAACGATAAGGCGGGATAGAACGATGGTACTTGCTGCAACACTGTCGTAGGGGATCAACAGAGAGACTACAAGACTCCAATCAATGTAAAACGTAAAAACAAAAATGATGAATTAATATTGAAACAAAGCGAAGCGAGTAGATACGAAGTAACAAACAAAAATATAATGTGTTGTGCCTAACGAACGTTAAAAGGTGAGGAGAAACAAAGAAATGAAAAAAAAAGATTTACGAAAACGCGTGCGCACGCGGTAGAAGGTATGCGTCGAGTCGCGTAGTTGTGGCACAGTCGTTTGTCCGGTGCGCGTCGTCGATTAAAACGAGAGACGAACGCGCGCGACTCGCACACGGTGGCGCGGGATATTCGGAGACTGTGCGCGCGTCGCGGTCGGTGCGCTAAAGTGATTCCGAGCAGAAGCGGAAGAACAGGTTCACGGGGCGGAAGAACGACGACGAAACGGGTCGAACAGCCGAGACAGAAAGGAAACATCGCATCGAGGAGACGAGGCGACGAGGGAAAGAAAAAGGAAGGGACTTTTCGCCTGTGGGATACAATTAGAAAATTAGAAAATTAAAAAAAAAAAAAAATATGTGGAGAATCGACTGATAG